TTTGGATGATTCGGGGCTGGGTTGCAAGCTTGAAAGGTTGTTGCTTCGCCTTCGGCACTAGACGGTATACGTAGTTGTCATGTTCAAGTTCAGCAGGACGACTCTTGAACAAACCACCCAATTACTTCCCAAGCCCTGGTGACAAGTGCACCACGACGACTGCCAAAACATCCAAGTCAAAGGGAACCCAAAACCTTAAACCCTAAACCCTAAACTAAGGATCTATAACATACCTCAAACCGTAATCACTGCAGCCTTCGGTGTTCTGCCGCGGCCACGACCGCGACCCCCTCGTCGCCCACCGCGCCCACGCCCACCACGGCCTCTCTTGGGCTTTTCCTCCTGAGATCATTGGCCCGGGAAACTCCAGTTATTAGGCCTAGACAATAATAAGAATCACCCTTATATGGAGGTCTCGAACACAGTCCTCATCATCCTCCTCATCTGAATCAACGTTTGTCTCTTCTTCCTCGTCATCATCATCTCCACCAGCCTCTTCATCCTTGTCACTGTCCTCACCTTCGTCATCGTCATCATTCTCTTCCTCCTCGTTCTCTTCTGCATCATCGTCCTGCATCAGCAGCGAGATTCAGCGATTAGTAAGTAAGGTTGGGGAGTCGAGTTTAGGTCAAAGCCGACTGTGCTCTTAGGGTTGTCAAGTGTGGGGTGAATACTGAAGATTTCCGGAAAATATAATAAGTTTCAGACTGATAATCTAACTATCAGTTAGACTTAGTACTACTATACATAAACAACCTACTACTACTACTACTACTACTACTACCGACTAGCACCACTACGAGCACTTCTACGACTTCTGCGAATACTGCACTAGTACTAGTACTAGTCAACTAGTCCGAGTACTAGTCTTACAACGAGTACTACAACCACAAGGACAAGTATTAAAACTAGGACATTATTGGTCCTCTTCATTATCCTCCTCTTCAGTCGTGTTTTTCCCTTTGCCTTTCTTGGCCTTCTTCTTCGGTTCCTTCTTCGGGGCCTTATAGTGATAATGTTGGAACTACACATTATTGTAGGAAAGTGCGAACGATGCCTTTGCACACATACTAAGGATTGGGCAGCTTTCCGCTTCTTTCCTCCAACCACACTCACTAGGCCGGGCTCATACAAGGGGCTGTCAGCCACTTGCATGTCATGGAAAACCTGTGCTTCCAAGTGCTCATAGAGTCGATCTTGGTGATGTTCATTGAATGTCACCCCGACCATACCTATCCTGTTGCGGATCGCAGCCATGCACGTTTTGCCGTCACTGACGCTGAGGTCGAGCAGGTACCCGACGTTGTAATCATACAGCAGCTCCTCTACCTGAGTTCGTAGCTGTTGGGACCAGATAAGATGGATTATTTTTACTAGAGCATACAATGCCACGAAACACAGGCGTCGGGAAGCGAGTGATAGCAAAACGGCTCCAGGTCCTTGTCCTGCCGCCGGCCGCCTGGTCTGGTGAACCGACGTGGGGGAAAGTCGGGCACTCAAGTCGAAGTCAGTCCTGATGAATCGTCTGGCTCGTTCTTGCCGCCCACCCTGATAATCTGGTTGCCGTACATTTTCTTCTTCTCAGCATAGCTGACAAGCCATGTCTCATCGGGGTCCTCGACTCTGTTTTCAGAATTGGAGGTTTGGATGCAAGGTTTAGGATAAGGTGTTGCTATAACAAATGCATC